CCCTTTGCCTGAAGTCAAGCCATCGCTCTGAAGTCAAGCTGTCTCTCTGAAGTCAAATCGTCTCTCTCTGAAGTCAAGCTGTCTCCCCCTCTGCTGACTGAGTCGGGGGTCTGTCTTTATGGGACTCAGAATGGAGAGTGTGGGCTCATTGGTTTGTGAGTATGCAAAAAACGTTAAAGTGAAGACACCACTCAATGGTGGGCATGCCAGTGTAGAAAACCAGTTAGGAGAGGTCGGGCGCAGTGGCTCGCGCCTGTAGTCCCAGCACTTTGGGAGGCCGAGGTGGGCGGATCACGAGATCTCCTGACCTGGCTAACACGGTGAAACCCCGTCTCTACTAAAAATACAAAAAATTATCTGGGCGTGGTGGCGGGCGCCTGTAGTCCCAGCTACTCGGGAGGCTGAGACAGGAGAATGGTGTGAACCCGGGAGGTGGAGCTTGCAGTGAGCTGAGATCGCGCCACTGCACTCCAGCCTCGGTGACAGCGAGACTCCGTCTCAAAAAAAAAACAAAAAAAAACCCCAATTAGGAAAGGGTAGCTATATATAAAATAGATGAAAAGCGGGGATTAGAGGAAAGCATGCCAAAGAGGAAGACAAGTTCTCGGTCTGGTCTGAGGATTTAACTTGTATCTTGGCTTTCAGGCTTTAAACTGTCTTTGGCTTGGAGGTTGCACTGGAGACCTGCCCCTATTTACCTTGGCATTTGGCTGCCTCCTTTTGTTATCACTTGTACTTTGTCTGGCCGAGGCCTCTCCCTTGGCAGTGTCTTGTCAGCAGTACTCTCTGGGGCCTTATCCCTCCTGGTAATCTCTCCAGCTCAGATTTCTTCTTACACTTTGGATGCATATATTAACTGTCCACTCCACATCTCTGCTTGAGTATTTTATAGACCCAAGCTCAACATGATTAAAACTGGCCTCTTGGATTTTCTCTCCCAAACCCACAACCTCTGGGGCATTCCTTCACCTTCTTGTTTGATAGCAGACCCCTTGGAATTATTTTTGACCTGTTTTTTTCTTGTCTTACACATCTTATTTGTCAGAGAAACCTCTGGGGCATACATCCGGAATATATCCACAGAGTCTGACCTTTTGCAATCCTCTCCATGACATCTTTTGCCTGGATTACAGCAACCGTTGCAGAGCAGTCTTGTTGCTGCTCAGACCTTGGCCTCTGGCTTAGCATTTAGAGTGCCTGTGTAGGATGAGTCAGGTTGCTAAACAGCAATCCCCTGCCCAACATCTACGCTTTTTACTGAGTAAAAGCCAAAATTCCACCAGTCGGTTATGTGGTCCATTACATCTCTGACTTCACTTCCTTCTCAGCCTCTTGATCACTATGCTCCAGCTCCACTTACCTTCTTGGTGGATGTACTAGTTATAACACCACCTTTGTCTTTGTACCAAATGTGTCCTTTTCCTGGAGTATGTTTCCTAGGGAGCCTTCCAACTTATTCTGTTATAATTTATAAAGGATTTATAATTTATAATCATTTATAATTAAATATTAAATATGTCAACCATATTTAATAAGTTGATCATTGGCTGGGTAGGTGCAGTGGCTCATGCCTGTAATCCTAGCACTTTGGGAGGCTGAGGCGGGAGGATCACTTGAGTCTGGGAGGTAGAGGTTGCAGTGAGCCATGTTTGTGCCACTGCACTCCAGTCTGTATAACAAAGCGAGACTCTGTCTCAAAAAAAAAAAAAAAAAAAGTTGATCATCCTTTGGGACTTGACCATATATTAGGACACTTTTTTTTTTTTTTTTTTGGAGACAGAGTTTCCTTCTTGTTCCCCCAGACTGGAGTGCAATGGCATGATCTTGGCTCACTGAAACCTCTGCCTCCCTGGTTCAAGCAATTCTCCTGCCTCAGCCTCCCGAGTAGCCGTGCCTGGCTAATTTTTTTCTATTATTACTAGATACAGGGTTTTACCATGTTGGCCAGGCTGGTCTGGAACTCCTGACCTCAGGTGATCTGCCTGTTTCGGCCTCCCAAAGTGCTGGGACTAGAGGCATGAGCCACCACGCCCGGCATAGGACACTATTTAACTCTGTTTGGGGACTTTTTCTTTTCACTGGAGTATTTTTCTTTTTATTAGAGGAGTTCATAATAAACAGTAATATCTAGTAAGATAAACCCATTTATAATTTTTGTTTTTGACATACCTTTTTTTCCTTTTTTTTTGAGATGGAGTCTTGCTCTGTCGCCCAGGCTGGAGTGCAGTGACGTGATCTCAGCTCACTGCAAGCTCTGTCTCCCAGGTTCACACCATTCTCCTGCCTCAGCCTCCCGAGTAGCTGGGACTACAGGTGCCAGCCAGCATGTGGAGCTAGTTTTTTGTATTTTCAGTGGAAACGGGGTTTCACTGTGTTAGCCAGGATGGTCTCGATCTGCAGACCTCATGATCTGCCCACCTCAGCCTCCCAAAGTGCTGGGATTACAGGCATGAGCCATCACACCTGCCCCCCCACTCCCCCACCCCCGCCCCCTTTTTTTTGAGATGGAGTCTCACTCTGTAGCCCAGGCTGGAGTGCAGTGGCACAATCTCGGCTCACTGCAGCCTCCGCCTCCTGGGTCCTGGTTCAACCAATTCTCCTGCCTCAGCCTCCCAAGTAGCTGGGATTGCAGGCATGCGCCACCATGCCCAGCTAATTTTTGTATTTTTAGTGGACGGAGTTTCACCATATTGGCCAGGCTGGTCTTGAACTCCTGACCTCGTGGTCCGCCCGCCTCAGCCTGCCGAAGTGCTGAGATTACAGGCGTGAGCCACTGTGCCCGGCCCCTTTTTTCCCGTTTAAATAGAAATTCAGTGGATCTCCTTCGCCTTTTTTTTTTTTTTTTTTGAGACGAAGTCTTGCTCTGTCGCCCAGACTGGAGTGTAATGGTGCAATCTCGGCTCACTGCAACCTCTGTCTCCCAGGTTCAAGCGATTCTCCTGCCTCGGCCTCATGAGTAGCTGGGATTACAGGCCACCTTTTTTTTTTTTCCCCCCCAGAACCAAATGTCAGCTTACCTTCTCCACCTTTTATAAAAGCAACTTAAGAACAACAGCCAGGCTGGGCAAGGTGGCTTATGCCTGTAATCACAACACTTTGGGAGGCTTAAGGTGGGAGGATCAGTTGAGCCCAGGAGTTTGAAACCAACCTGGATAACATAGTGAGACCCCATCTCTCCAAAAATTTAAAAATCAGCCCGGTGCAGCGACTTATGCCTGTAATCGCAGTACTTTGGGAGGCTGAGGCCAGCAGATTGCTAGAGCCCAGGAGTTAGAGACTAACCTGGGCAACATGGTGAAACCCTGTCTCTGTGAAAAGACAAAAAAATTAACGGGATGGTGGTATGCATCTGTAGTCCTAGCTACTCAGGAGGCTGAGGTGAGAAGATTGCTTGAGCCCAGGAGGTTGAAGCTGCAGTTAGCTGTGTTCGTGCCGCTGCACTCCAGCCTGGATGACAGAACAAGACCGTGTTTCAAAAAAAAAAAGCAGGGGCTGGGTGCGGTGGCTCAAGCCTGTAATCCTAGCATTTTGGGAGGCTGAGGCGGGTTGAGGTCAGGGGTTTGAGACCACCCTAACCAACATGATGAAACCCCGTCTCTATTAAATACAAAAATGAACCAGGCCTAGTGGCGCGCCCCTGTAACGCTAGCTACTCAGGAGGCCGAGGCAGGAGAATTGCTTGAACCTGGGAGGTGGAGGTTGCGGTGAACTGAGATAGCGCCATTGCACTACAGCCTGGGTAACCTTCCTGGAGCTCCAGGTACTTGGGAGGCTTAGGCAGGAGTATTGCTTGAGCCCAGGAATTTGAGGCTATAGCATGCTATGATCATGCCTGTGAATGTACTCCAGCATGGGCAAAACAGCAAGACCTGGCCTCTAAAAGGAAAAATGATTTATTATCTATAGTTTGAGACAGGAGTCTAGCTCTGTCACCCAGACTGGAGTGCAGTGGCATGATCTTGGCTCACTGCAACCTCCACCTCCTAGGTTCAAGTGATTCTACTGTCTCAGCCTCCCTAGTAGCTGGAATTACAGGTGCGCACCACCATGCTTGACTACTTTTTGTATTTTTAGTAGAGACAGGGTTTCACCACATTGACCAGGCTGGTCTTGAACTTCTGACTTCAAGTGATCTGCCTGCCTTGGCCACCCAAAGTGCTGGGATTACAGGCATGAGCCACCACGCTCAGCCTAGGTTTTTTTTTTAAATCAATTTTCTTTTTTAATCAATTCTGCTAAAAGGCTGCCACCTCACAGATTGACTACCAGGCCACCACACAGGATCTTAGGAGGCCAGGCTCCTCCCCCCTGCACAAGGCTCAAACTTCCCCTGCCTCCACCTCATTCTCCCAGTACGCAGGTGGGTCCTCAGTCTGTTGGAGGCATGTGCAGACAAGACCCTGGGCAGATTCCCTTATCTGCAGAAAAGCATCTGGTGTAAACACTTGTGGGGTTGGAGATTCTCCGGGGACCCCTCCTTATCTACCTCCTGCATCTATCACTAGCGGGACCTCATATAATTTTTGTATGAATTAAGAAAGTAAGCTGGGCATAGTGGTTCACATCTGTAATCCCAGCACTTTGGGAGGCCAGGGCAGGAGGATAGCTTGAGCCTGGAGTTCAAGACCAGCCTGGGCAACATGGTGAGATCTTGTCTCTACAAATAAAAAATTAGCTGGGTGTGGTGGCGTGTGCCTGTTGTCCCAGCTACTTGGGAGGCTGAGGTGGGAGAATTGCTTGTGCCCCAGTGGTCAAGATTGCAGTGAGTTGTAATCATGCCACAGCACTCCAGCCTGAGTGACAAAGCGAGACCCTGTCTGAAAAAAAAAGCAATCAATATACCAGCAGAGTCCTCATACCAGGATTTCTCATTTTCCTACAATGTATAATATTAATAGCAGGCATCTTATGTAGCATTTTCTCTTCAGCTATCAACAGTGAACATGACAAGGTGTTAGATCTCATACATGTTGTGTGTTCTCCACTTCTGATCACTATAGAATGAAACGTACTGTTCTAGGGATCAGTGTCCTTCAGTGATGTGGCTTTGGGCTTCACCCAGGAAGAGTGGCAGCATCTGGACCCTGCACAGAGATGTGATGCTGGAGAACTACAACCTCCTCCTCTGTACAGAGACGTGATGCTGGAGAACTACAGCCTCCTCCTCTCAGTGGGTAAGGATTGTGTAATTTAAAACTCCAAATAACATTTATTTCCTTTTTAGCTGCTGATTGCAGATGGTTTCTTTGTATGATTATGAGTTAAAGCTTGAAACTCAGGAGTTGAAGCTTGATTGATCCCTTTTGGGCACTGTAAAAAATATCTGTGGTGTTTTCCGTAATGAAATGCTCAAGTGGACCTATTTTTGTGCAGACACAGCTTTGTCCTCCACAGGCTATCTGGCCCACGTCCTGTGTCATTTTCATTCACAGGGTATTGTATTACCAAACCAGTGGTGATTTGCAAGTTGGAGCATGGAGAGGTGCTGTGGATATTAGAGGAAGAGTCCCCAAGTCAGAGCCACCTAGGTGAGTTAATAAGTATATAGGAATCTATAATCCCAGAGAGAAATTGGATCCTAGGGAGATAGTTCACATATTGACATCTTTGAAATTTTTCAGGAATACATTTTTAGAGTTACCAGAACTTTGGAAGTGACTAAGAAGAGCTGGCCTGCTTGCCTCAGATGTATATATTATTACACACCAGCAGATAACAGCTAAATGATCTTTGTTTTCTTCCAAAAACTTAATCCTTGCCTCTCTCAGTTTTGTCAAATGAATGTCATTTGACTCTCCCTTCTATATCATTTCAGTTATCTTCTTTTCATCATATATTATGTATTTATTCAATACGTATTAATTTGGCAGCTACGATGTTGGCAGTTCCATCTGTGTTAGAGATATAGCTCTAATACCATGGCTGTGTTCTATTGGTAGAAAAGAATGAGATGTAGTGTGCGCTTTGTGGTAGGGCCTTTTTGAAGTCAGTAGTTTAATAAACACAGATTTGAATCATGTGTCAGTGGAATATTCTGGCCAGATGGTATATCCTGTGTCGTGAACCTTAGGCCAGAGTGTCATGTGTGCAGGACAGCAGTGAGCCGGGCTGGGTGGAAGTCGGGGTAATGGGGAGCATGTGAGAGATGCTGTCAGACAGACTGCTCACTGGGGTGCTATATATTTGGAAGTTGTAGCCAAAACAGAATTTGCTGCTAAATTGGATTATGGGCATAAGAAAAAGCTAATAAGCATGATCTCAAAGGTTTTATACTGAGGCACTGGCTGTGTGATGATACCATTAACTGGATGGGAGAAAATGGGGAGAAACAGTTTTGGGAAGAAATAAGAGATAGACACATAAATTTAAACAAACATTCTTTGTATAAAATAGTAATGATGCCCAGTTGGATGTAAAACAATAAAAATAAAATACTGAAAAATAATCCAACATGTGAATCAGTTACCAGTTGATCTGAATTGTATTCTAAAATCCTTTCTTTTTTTTCTTTTTCTTTTTCTTTCTTTTTTTTTTTTTTTTTTTTTTTTTTTTTTTTTTTTTTTTTTTTTGAGACAGCCTCTCTCTGTCTCACAGGCTAGAGTGCAGTGTTACAATCTTGACTCAGTGCAACCTCTGCCTCCCAGGCTCAGAGATTCTCATACCTCAGCCTCCCTAGTAGTTGGGACCACAGATGGTGTGTATCACCACACCTGACTAGTTTTGGTATTTTTAGTAGAGATGAGGTTTTGCCCTCTTGGCCAAGCTGGTCTCAAACTCCTGGCCTCAAGTGATCTGCCCCCCTTGGCCTCCCAAAGTGCTGGGATTACAGGTATGAGCCACTGCGCCTGGCCTCTAAATTCCTTTCGTTGTTAAGAAGAAATACTGTTGCATTAAATATAAATGGTAACATGTAATGAGTAAATGCTAAAAGAAAGTAATATGTGTAATTTCTAGACTTTTAAAAAGAAGAAAATGGAAAAGAAAAAAAATTAAATGTATTGGATTAGACTAAAAAAAAAAAAAAAAAAGACCAATGAGGCTGGGCTTGGTGACTCAGGCCTGTAATCCCAGCACTTTGGGAGGCCGAGGCGGGTTGGTCACCTGAGGTCAGGAGTTCGAGATCAGCCTGACCAGCATGGCAAAATGCCATCTCTACTGAAAGTACAAAAATTAGCTGGGTGTGGTGGTGGATGCCTGTAATCCCAGCTATTCAGAAAGCTGAGGCAGGAGAAACTTCAACCCGGGAAGCAGACATTGGCGTGAGCAGAGATCGTGCCACTGCACTGCAGCCTGGGTGACAAGAGCAAGACTCCATCTCAAAAAAAAAAAAAAAAAAGAAAGAGTGGGGAAAGGCCGGTAAAAATTAGAACAACTGGAAACTCTTAAGTGAAAAAGAGAAAACCAATCTAGTTATTTTAGAAGTCATAATACAGTGAAAGGGGCTAAACCATCTTATTAAAAGATGGATATTGTCAAATCAAAAACCAAGTTATATAAGCTCAGTGCGGTGGCTCACTCCTGTAATCCCAGCACTTTGGGAGACCAACCCAAGAGGATTGCTTGAGGTCAAGAGTTTGAGACCAGCCTAGGCAGCATAATGAGGATCCATCTGTACAAAAAATGAAAAATTAGGCCGGGCACGGAGGCTCCTGCCTATAATCCCAGCACTTTGGGAGGCCAAGGTGTGCAGATCACCTGAGGTTGGGAGTTCGAACCAGCCTGACCAACATGGAAAAACCCGTCTCTACTAAAAATACAAAATTAGCTGGGCGTGGTGGTGCATGCCTGTAATCCCAGCTACTCGGGAGGCTGAGGCAGGAGAATCACTTGAACCCGGGAGGCAGAGTTTGTGGTGAGCCGAGATTGTGCCATTGCACTCCAGCTTGGGCAACGAGAGTGAAACTCCTTCTCAAAAATAAATAAATAAAAAATTACCCAGACATGGTCGTACACCAGTAGTCTCAGTTTTGGGAGGCTGAAGTGGGAGGATCGCTTGAGCCCAGGAGTTTGAAGCTGCAGTGAGCTATGATCATGCCACTGCATTCCAGTCTGGATGACAGAGTAAGAGCCTGTCTGTAACAACAAAACAAAAATCAAGCTATATGGAGTTTGAGAATCATATATGAAATGTGAACAGGAAACCTTAGAATATAAAAGAAGTATAAATGATATATGGTCCAAATAATAAAACAAAATAGAATGTTACCTCTCAGTGGACCCAAATTTAGCTTTTGAGTTTATTTTTGACACAGTCCTTTTTTTTTTTTTTTTTTAAATGAGATGGAGTCTCGTGTTGTCTTCCAGGCTGGAGTGCAGGTTGATCTCTTTTGATCCTATCTCAAAAAAAATTTTTTTTTCTAACTTAGATAAACAAAGAGAAAATTTATATATATATATATATATATATATATATATATTTGTGTGTGTGTGTGTATATATGTATCTATATAAACTTGTACTGATGGGGTCTTGCTGTGTTGCCCAGACTGGTCTTGAACTCCTGGCCTTAAGCAATTCTTCCACCTCTGCCTCCCAGAATGCTAGTTTAGAGGCTTGATCCACTGTGCCTGGCCTACTTATATTTTTTAATTGAATGAAACTCATTCTGTTTTTGCTGTTATCGTTTGAGTTAATTGGTCGCATTTATAATCTAAGAAGCATGATACTATTTTAGTGATCTATTTTTCTAAAGTTTGAAACATTTTGCTATGTTATTTCCTTAGCAATTATTTCAACATTACTCATCAGTTATGTCCAACTGTGGTAAAATAAACTAAAATAGAAAAGAATAGAATGATGGAATTGCTTATAAGGACAATACAATAGTGAAGATCACTGTCACTATTATATCATCCTTCAGTTTTCTTATTGAGCTGCTTGAAGTATTGCATCACTTGTGACAAAAATATAAAAGAAGCCTGGAGAAACCTTATTTGTAGTTTCTTTCTTTCTTTTTTTTTTTTTTTAATTTTGTTTATTCATTTCTTTTTGAGATGGAGTCTCACTCTATTGCCCAGGCTGGAGTGGAGCGGTGCAATCTCAGCTCCTTGCAACCTCTACCTCTCAGGTTCAAGTGCTTCTACTGCCTCAGCCACCCGAGTAATGGACTACGCAGACCACCTACTACTGGTCCTGGCTTTTTTTTTTTTTTGTATTTTACTAGAGATGGGGTTTGCCATGTTGGCAAGGCTGTTTTTGAACTCCTGACCTCAGTGCCTCCTGCCTTGGCCTCCAAGTGCGGGATTACAGGTGTCAACCACTGTACCTGGACTCTTCCTTTTCTTTTTGTTGTTTTCTTTTCTTTCTTTCTTTCTTTCCTTTTCTTCTTTTTTCCTTCCTCCTTCCCTCCCTCCCTCCCTTCCCCTTTCCTTTCCTTTCCTTTCCTTGACACTGAGTCTTGCTCTGTCACCCAGGCTGGAATGCAGTGGCATGATCTCAGCTCACTGCAACCTCTGTCTCCTGGGTTCAAGCAATTCTCCTGCCTCAGCCTCCTGAGTAGCTGGGATTACAGGTGCGCACCACCACACCTGGCTACTTTTTGTATTTTTAGTAGAGACGTGGTTTCGCCATGTTGTCCGGGCTAGTCTGGAACGCTTGACTTCAGGTGATCCACCCTCCTCGGCCTCCGAAAGTGCTGGAATTACGGGCGTGAGCCACTGCGCCCAACTCTCTCTCTCTCTCTCTCTCTCTTTTTTTTTTAATAATTCAATGGGCACAGTTGAAGTTAAGAACTTTTATTTTCTTCCGTTAATTGCAAAGAGTAGAAAATTGACAAGAGGAAGTCTCTTCACAATTATTAGGCAAATCAGAAGATGAAGCAGAAGCATTGTAGACTCTAGTAATTACAGTGTAATTGATCATATAAGTGAAATCTCAGACTATGAGTTACATGATGATATTCTAGATGAATAAAGGTATGCATATGATCCTGTTATAAGAACAGCCTGGGTCGGGTGCAGTGGCTTATACCTGTAATCTCAGCACTTTGGGAGGCCGAGGCAGGTGGATTTCTTGAGCCCAGTAGGTCAAGGCTGCAGTGAGCTGTGATGCTGCCACTGCATTACAGCCTGGGCAACAGGAGTTTGAGACCAGCCTGGATAACATGGCAAAAAACTCCATCTCTACAAAAAATACAAAAAATTAGCCAGGCATGGTAGTACATACATGTAATCCCATTTACTCGAGAAGCTGAGGTGGGAGCATCACCTGAGGCTGAGAAGTTGAGGCTGCAGTGAGCCATGATTATACCACTGCACAATCCAGCCTGGGTGACAGAGCCAGACACTGTGCCAAAAAAAAAAAAAAAAAAAAAGCATGTGAATATGTCTCCTTTTCATAAGAAATATATTAACATTTATAATCTGTGGTAACTTATTCTTGTTTCTAGACTGCTGCATAGATTATAACCTGTTGGAGAAGAGACAGGAAAATCAAGACCAGCATTTGCAGACAGTTGATTTTTTCAGCAACAAAACACTGACTATGGACAGAAATGGTGTATTAGGAAAAACATTTTATTGTGACACAAACCCCATTCTATTAAGAAAAATACGTGGCAACTGTGACTCATATGGAGTGAATTTGAATTATATTTTGGAATTAATTATTAGTAATAGAAGCTCCTTTATAAGCAACCCTTCTGAATGTAATGCACATGGGAAAGTTTTCCTTTGTATGAAGCGTGAAAATCCTTATGCCAGAGGGAAACCTTTGGAATATGATGGAAATGGGAAAGCCGTCTTTCAGAATGAGGACCTATTTAGGCATCAAACTCTGAAGCAGTGTTTTGAATACAATCAGTGTGGGAAGGCTTTTCATGAAGAGGCAGCCTGCATTACCCATAAGAGAGTGTGCTCATGGGAGACCCTGTGAATATAATGGACATGTGAGAGCCTTTCCGATAGACCAATATTCATTGTTCATCAGATAACTCACATAAGGGAGAGTTCCTATGAATTCAATGAATGTGAGAGGAGGTCTGGTGAGAAGCCACCTGTAAGTAAACACCACAGAGTTAATGGAGATGGAACACTATGAGTGTAATGCGAGAGAATAGTTTTGGCAAGAAATCACTCCTCATTCTACGAAGTTACAGAGGAGAGAAAACTTTTGACTGTAATAGAGATTTGAAAGTATTCTGCAAGAAGCCAAATTTCACTCAGCATCAAGAAACACGTATAGGAAAGAATGCCTATAAAATTAATCAGCATGCTAGTACATTTTGCCGTAAGCCAAAACTTTCTGTGTATCAGAAAACAGAGAGGAGAAAAACTCTATGAATGTAGTGAATGTGGGAAAACCTTCTACCAGAAGTCATCCCTCACAGCATATCAGAGAACACACACAGGGGAGCAACCCTATGAATATAATGAAACCTTTTACCAGAATCCTGACTTTGCTAAACATCAGAGAGACAACATAGAGGAAACCCTTGTCAACATCCTGAAGGCTCAGAAACCTTCACCTTCTTGGACTCATTCCATAGCAGAAACAACCCAGGTTGGGGTGAGAACACCCAATAAAGATGAGAAATCTTTTGCCTAGAAGTGATGTTTCATTGAACAGCAAATAATTGACATTTTATCTTTTTTTCTTTTATTTTGTTGTTATTTTTTTGAGACAGAGTTTTGCTCTTATTGCCCAGGCTGGAGTGCAATGGCGTGATCTTGGGTCACCGCAACCTCTGTCTCCCGGGTTCAAGCGATCCTCCTGCCTCAGCCTCCCAAGTAGCTGGAATTACAGGCGTGCGCCACCATGCCTGGCTAATTTTGTATTTTTAGGAGAGACGGGGTTTCATCATGTTGGTCAGGCTGTTCTTGAACTCCTGAGCTCAGGTGATCCACCCGCCTTGGCCTGCCAAAGTGTTAGGATTACAGGCGTGAACCACCACACCCAGCCCTTCTTTTTTTGTTGTTTTTTTGTTTTTTTTTGAATCAGAGTCTCACTCTGTTGCCCAGGCTGGAGTGCAGTGGCACAATCTCAGTTCACTGCAGCCTCCTCCTCCCAGGTTCAAGTGATTGTTGTGCCTCAGCCTCCCAAGTAGCTGGGACTATAGGCATGTGCCACCATGCTCAGCTAATTTTTGTATTTTTTGTAAAGACAGATTTTTACCATGTTGGCCAGGGTGGTCTGGAACTCCTGACCTCAAGTGATCTGCCCACCTTGGCCTCCCAAAGTGCTGAGATTACAGGTGTGAGCCACCATGCCTGGCCAATAATTGATATTTTTATTTATTATTTTGTTGAGATGGAGTCTCACTCTGTTGCCCAGGCTGGAGTGCAGTGGGCTGATCTTGGCTCACTGCAACCTCCGCCTCCTGGCTTCAAGCGATTCTTCTGCCTCAGCCTCCTGAGTAGCTGGGATTACAGGTGTGTGCCACCAGACCCAGCTAATTTTTGTATTTTTAGTAGAGACAGGGTTTCGCCATGTTGGCCAGGCTGGTCTTGAACTCCTGACGTCAGGTGATCTGCCTGCTTTGGCCTCCCAAAGTGCTGGGATTACAAGCATGAGGCACTGCACCTGGCCTTTATTCTCTTTTTATTCTTACCTTAGAATCACAAGATGGTAGTGCAGGAAGATTATACAGTATTTAACTATTTCTGCCTTATTTGAAAGATAAAATATATGGAGCCTGAGAGAATCAGTGAATGATTACAGGTCACTCCTTTGTTACTGATCAAGATAAGAGTTTATTCCGGGCGCGGTGGCTCACACCTGTATCCCAGCACTTTGAGAGGCCGAGGCAGGTGGATCACCTGAGATCAGGAGTTCGAGACCAGCCTGGCCAACATGGGGAAACCCTGTCTCTACTAAAAATACAAAAAATTAGCTGGGCGTGGTGGCAGGTGCCTGTAATCTCAGCTCCTCGAAAGGCTGGGGCAGGAGAATCGCTTGAACCTGGGAGGTGGAGGTTGCAGTGATTTGAGATCGTGCCACTGCATGCCAGCCTGGGCAACAGAGCGAGACTCTGTTTCAAAAAAAGAAAGTTTCGTGGTTTCTTTATTCCTTTGCACAGCTGAAACAAGTCTTATCAAAAGAGTATGAAACTGTAATGAAATTCGAACAAATATTTAAAAATCTTGTACTGAAGCATTCATTCTCTTTTTTAGAGTTTCTGTAAATTGTTCAACAATATTCCCAGTATTATATTCATAGGAAAACAGATAAACAGTACAACCTGAGTGTTTCCTACCACATCAGTTTTAATGAAGACACTTTTATATTAGGATCCTGTCATTTATAAATTGTTTGTATTTTAAATTTTTTTGTCTTAGTGACATAAATTATTAATCATTGGGATACATGTGTTTACTTTCACCCAGTGAAAAATTGCATGTCTAAACTCAACACAATCTGGTCATAGAGATGTCTCCACATTGTTCAAATGGTCTCTTCTGTGTAGCATTTTAGGAAGTTGGATCCAGGAGCAGCAAGGTGAGCCAGATTTCTCCTAACTTTATTCTTAGCTCCTCTTTCCCAGCATTACCTTAACATTTTCCCAAGACCAGTAGAAAATGAACAGATCCCAGGTGAGTTGTTTAGTAGTTGTTATCAGCTTTATTTATAATGCATTGTATGAGGCTTTTAAGGGTCATTAGAATGGAAATATAGAAATCAACAGGAAAATAGACAATAGCAGACTGATAGCATGATTTAATATATAGGTAAGTACAAGTTTTATGGTCTTTCATAGTTATCAAAATTGAGCTGTAAATTTGAATATTTTTGATAGCCATTGCACAAGGCAGACATCTGTCACATGATTTATATTTCCATAAAGAAAAACAGCATTGATTATGAATGGGGCATGAAAACTTCCTGGCAGTGAGTCTAAAATTGTTCTCTTTTTGCACTCTGGATGGGCCATGAAGTGTACAACCTTCCAATAACTTCAATAAAAGAAATTCAGCCTCTTTCAGTAGTTCTTCAGTGGGAACAAAGGACTCAAGAGCTATGAGAAAACTCAGTGAATATAGGTTTTCAGAGAATCAAAATATTGTAGTCTGGTATAGTGTGTAGATTACTAGAGTAACCACTAGCCATATGTGGATATTGAAATATAATTAAAATCTGTTTCATAAGTCACATAGTAACATTTTAAGTGCTTAGTTGCCACATGTGGCTAGTGGCTACCAAGTTGGACAGCACTGCTCTAAGCCATTTTCTGGTGTTGCTGCTTGATACAGGGATAAAATATAGAGTATCTGGAGGAAGAAATCAAGTGCATCTTCAGACTATTTCAGTAAATGATTTTTTTCCCCATTTAGGTGTATTTATGGGGTAGTATAGACAGTTCGCAGTTACACTCTCTGGCATTTGTGCCTGTAATTCGATTTCACATGTCAGACCTTTCTTTTCTGAACAAACCAGAAGAGGTAAAGGAACTGAGAAAGTGAAAGTGTGATTTACGGTATAAATTGAAATGGATATAATATGTTCAAATATTAATATAATAGTTGATAAACCAAGATTCAGAGCAAAACCAAAATACATTACAAAAAGTATGAATGGCTGAATTTCTTATCCAAGACAGACTATCATACCGGGTTTAAAAAACCAGAATACAGCCATATTGTTTCTTAAAAACATGCTTTTAAGAAATCTAAAAGGCTGGGCGTGGTGGCTCACACCTGTAATCCCAGCACTTTGGGAGGCCGAGGTAGGCAGACACCTGAGGTTGGGAGTTTGAGACCAGCCTGACCAACATGGAAAAACCTCGTCTCCACTAAAAGTACAAAATTAGCCTGGCTTGGTGGTGCATGCCTGTAATCCCAGCTACTCGGGAGGCTGAGGCAGGAGAATCGCTTGAACCTAGGAGGTAGAGGTTGTGGTGAGCCAAGATTGCGCCATTGCACTACAGCCTGGGCAACAAGAGTGAAACTCCTTCTCAAAAAAAAAAAAAAAAAAAAAAAAAATCTAAGAGATGAAGGAAGGAAAGCAAAGAAATGGGAAAAATATTTTTGGCAAAAGCAATTAAAAGGCAAATAAGAGCACCTTTATTTATATCAAAGTGGAACTTGTACCCATAATGGTATGAAAATAGGTATCACACAATGATAAATAGCAAAATTAGACAAGAGGATAAAAGTCATCTTTTTATGTAGCCAAATAGAAAAGCAGCTGCTACCTTGGTTATTGAAAACTATTAAGAGAGGCAAAAACCTCTTTCAGCTTGTGACAGATCAAAGAGGTTAAAAATAAGGCAAGATAGCTAACTATCCTGTATTCTACCCAATGGAATATTTTACTCTTCAAGGAAAAATTGCAAAGATTGAAGAGATAATCATACCTAAAATTCAGTGGTATTTTTTCTGTGTCAGATGGTTTTCTAAATATCTTAAATTTATATAATCTAATCTCAATAGCAAACGTGTAACATGGATATCATTGTTTTCCCAAAATAAAACTGAAAAGATTAAGTGCCGTGCCTATTATGGGATCTAGGTCAACAAATTTTTCATCCCTCTTTTTTCATCATTAGATCATATTCTGGTCACTAAGAACATTTTTTTGTTGTTTTTTTGATACAGAGTCTTGCTCTATCACCCAGGCTGGAGCGCAGTGGCATGATCTCAGCTCCCTGCAACCTCCGCCTTTCAGAATCAAGCGATTCTCCTGCCTCAACCTCCCGATTAGCTGGGATTACAGGCGCATGCCACCATGCCTGGCTAATTTTTTGTATTTTTAAATGAGATGAGGTTTCATTGTGTTAGCCAGGATGGTCTAGATCTCCTGACCTCGTGATCGGTCCACCTCGGCCTCCCAAAGTGCAGGGATTAGAGGCGTGAATCACCGTGCCTGGCCCAGAAAAATTTTTTTCTTTTTATTTTTTGAGATGGAGTTTTGCGCTTGTTGCCCAGGCTGGAGTACAATGGCGTGATCTCCGCTCACTGCAGCCTCCGCCTCCTGGGTTCAGGCAATTCTGCCTCAGCCTCCCAAGTAGCTGGGATTACAGGCGTGTGCCACCACGCCTGGCTAATTTTTTGTATTTTTAGTAGAGACAGGATTTCGCTCTGTTAGCCAGGATAGTTTCCATCTTCCGACCTCAGGTGATCCCCCCGCCTGGGCCTCCCAAAGTACTGGGATTACAGACGTGAGCAACGGTGCCTGGCCCGAACATTTTTAATACTAAAAAATCGAAATTTGTTAAGAAGTAGAATTTTGAGGCCAGGCGCGGGCCCACGCCTGTATTCCCAGCACTTTCGGAGGCCAAGGTGGGCGGATCACCTGAGGTCAGGAGTTCGAGACCAGCCTGGCCGACTTGGCAAAACCCTGCCTCTACCAAAACTACAAAAAAAAAAAAAAAAAAAAAAAAAGTCGGGCGTGGTGGCGGGCGCCTGTAGTCCCAGCTAGTCAGGCTGAGGCAGGAGAATTGTTTAAGCCGGGAGGCGGAGTTTGGAGTGAGCCAAGATGGCTCTACTGCACTCCAGCCTGGGTGACAGAGCAAAACCCTGTCTCAAAAAAAAAAAAAAAAAAAAAAAGAATTTCAAGATAATACATCCTTAATTGTGAGCTTTAAAACTGAAAGGAATAGATAGATT